CAACTACCCTGTTACTTTCGCTCCTATCCAGAATCATCTTTGCAATCTTTTCCTCTACATCTCTGGAACTTTTCGGAGGCCTATAGAAAACTCCCAACAGGGTGATCTCTCCTTTCCTGGTTCTAACCTCAGCCCATACTACCTCAGTGGACGAGTTGTCATCAAACGTCCTTTCTGCCACCGTAATACTGTCTTTGACTAACAATGCCACACCTCCCCCTCTTTTACCACCTTCCCTGATCTTACTGAAACATCTAAACCCCGGAACCTGCAATAACCATTCCTGTCCCTGCTCTATCCATGTCTCCGAAATGGCCACAACATCGAAGTCCCAGGTACCAACCCATGCTGCAAGTTCACCCACCTTATTCCGGATGCTCCTGGCATTGAAGTAAACACACTTCAAACCACCTTCCTGCCTGCCGGTACACTCCTGCGACCTTGTTCTAGGCTGGGACATTTTCCCTGGAGTTTGGAGGCTGAGGGGTGATCTTATAGAAGTTTATAAAATCATGATGAGCATAGAAGAGGTGAATTGCCAAGGTCTTTTCCCCAAGATAGAGGCGTCTAAAACTGGAGGGCAAAGGTTTAAGATGAGAGGACAAAGATTTAAAAGGGATCTCAGAGGCAATTTTTTCTACACCCACGGTGGTGCATATATGGAATGAGCTGCCAGAAGAAGTGGTAGAGGCGGGTACAATTCCCATATTAAAAGACATTTGGACAGGTACATGGATGGGAAAGGTTAGAGGGATATGGGCTTTGTGGGATTTGTTAAATTTACAAAATCTGGTCAGCCTGTACGAGCTGGGCCAAAGGGCCTGTTTCCATACTGTATGACTATGACTGCAGAGCTGTTGATTTGATCTGTTGACTGTGAGATTGTTTATCTGTCTAACGCATGCATTCATTTTTGAGTTGCAGCTTCACCAGATTGGCACCTGTCTTTAAAAATTCTTTCTTGGGATCTGGGCTTTGCTGGCACTTTTTCCCAGCCCCAATTACCCTTGAGAAGCTGGTGGTTAACTGCCTTTCTGAAAGACTGCAGTCTGTCTGGTGCAGGTATACCCACAGTGCTGTTAGGAAAAGCACAGGCTGTACTCTAGATAGTAGACTCCACTATTCATTGCCAAGAGTGCCTCAACAGCAGCACTACTGACCAGGCTGGACAAGTGATGGGAGAACCTCAAAAAGAGGGAAACCTAGTCGTAGTCTTTTAGGTCCACCTGATGTTGCCGGCATTCTCTCTTGCACTCCTCTTTGAACCATAGTTGATTTCCTGGCTTGATGATAAGAGTAAAAATACGTCAGGCCAAGGGATCAAAAATTGTGAGTGAATACAACTCTTCTGTTGCTGATGTCCCAAAACACCTCAGATTCTCTATTTGAGTTGCTAGGTCTATTTTGAAATGATGAACAGATGCAAGATAGAGTTGACACCAGGCAACACCTTGCAAGCTCCTACAGCAGATTTAACTCTAACATTTCTTATAACTATTTTACACTTTTAAACTTAAATTCTAAATCCGTAAAAATTACTAATAATGTTCTTTTAAATCAAATTATAGGTTTGAAGATCCTACCGTCATCCAGGCCTGACTACTAGCGACGCTGGACTCACAGACCCAGGACAGACCTACCTGCTTCCCGCAGGACCCACGAGAACACTGAACCAACCCTTGACCCCGCAGCGACCTGGCCACAACCCAGAACAGAATCGGTTCTGAGAGCTACTCAGCTCATTGGAACTCCGACCGACCCGAGACCGGCAGCAGCATGACACTGTGGAAATAACAAGGTGTGGAGCTGAACGAACACAGCAGGCCAGGCAGCATCAGAGGAGCGGGAAAGCTATCCACACCTTGTTATCTCAGACTCCAGCGTCGGCAGTTCCTACTATCTCTGAATGACACTGTGGAAGCCTGGCTTTCCCGAGACCAGCAGCAGCGCAACCCTGAGGAGGCCCGACCGGCCTGAGACCGACATCAGTGCCACACCAAGGAGGCCCAACCGGCCAAGGCCCAATCCCCAATCCCCCAACTACCAGACCCCTTGGAGGCGCAGCCCGACCAGGCCCGACTCACTCAGCTGGAGGAAAAGAAGACTGGGTCCAGCAGGACCTGGGACTGCACAGGATTAGAAACTCCACCGCCGCGACCCAGGCCCAAACTCTGACCGCCCCGGGGGAGGCCCAGACCAATCAGAACTGACTCACTTACCTGCAGGAGCTGCAGACTCACATCACCGACTCCCAGGAACATCAGGATGCAGGAAACCTACAAGGAAATGGGGAAACATGCTGGCCTAAAGGTGAGGTTGAAACTACATGGTTTCAAGACTCCCCTTCCCAGCATACTCCTAGCAAATGTCCAAAGTATCAAAAACAAAATGGATGAACTCAGATCTAGACTTAAACCTCAGTTCTGAGGAAGGGTCACCGGACCCGAAACATTAACTTTGTTTTCTCCTCCACAGATGCTGCCAGACCTGCTGAGTTTTTCCAGCAACTTTGTTTTTGTTCAGATCTGGACTTAACCACCCTAGGGAACGGAGAGACTGTTCTGTGCTCTGCTTCCCGGAGACTTGGCTCACCCCAGCCATTCCTGACTGTGCCCAACATGCTGACGGGTTCTTCATACACTGCGTGGACCACACGGTGTCCTCGGGTAAGGCGAAGGGCAGTGGGGTATGCTCCCGATCAACACTTTCTGGTGCTTGGACGTGGCAAGCCACTGCTTCCCGGACCTAGAATACTTTACAGTAAAATGCCGTACCTACTACACACCACGAGAGTTCACCTCTGTCATCCTGATAGCAGTCTACATTCCACCTCACGCAGATGTGACAAATACCCAAGATGTAATCCACACTGCCACAAGCACACTAGAGACAAAATTTCCCGAGGCCCTATTCATTGTGGCCGGCGACTTCAACCAAGCCAACCTCAAGTAGGTGATGCCAAAATACCACCAACACAACTCCTACCCAACCAAGGGACCAAACATTCTGGACCACAGCTGCACAACCATCAAAGACGCCTACGATTCAATCCACCGCCCACACTTCGGAAATCCAATCACAGCACTGTGTTCCTCCCCCCAGCTTACAAGCAGAAGCTGAAATGGGAGAATCTTTCACGAAAAGTACAGTGCTGGTCCGAGGCAGTGGAAGACAGCCTCCGGGACTGCTTGGACTTGGTTGACTGGACCACATTCAAGTGTTCAGTGGAAAACCTAGACGAGTACGCCACCACTGTCATGGACTTCATCAGCAAATGCGTGGAGGACTATGTAACAAAGAAGTCAATCTGAGTGTTCCGCAACCGTAAACCTTTGATGGACCAGGAAATGCTCTCCCTACTGAAGGCCAGAAGTGCAGCATTCAAATCAGGTGACCCGGACCAACGCAGAAAATCCAGATATGACCTCCACAAAGCCATTAGGGAGGCCAAGGGGCAGTACCGGACCAAATTAGAGGGCCAGACCTTCCAAACAGACTCCCGCCGTCTATGGAGGGGCTTAAGCGACATTACGGGATACAAAATGAAACAGTGCAAGATGGCAGACAATAACACATCCCTCCCTGACATGTTCAATGCTTTCTATTCTCAGTTTGAGGAGAATACCACCAGCGTGGCGACACCAGCCCCGACAGTCCCAGTCCTGTTCCCTCTGTCACCGCTTCAGAAGTCAGATCAGTCTTCCTGGGAGTCAACCCAAGGTAAATGACGGCCCGGACAGTGTCCCGGACTGAGCACTCAGATCCTGTGCAGGTCACCTAGTGGAGGTATTCACTGACACCTTCAACCTCTCCCTCCTACAAGCCAAAGTTCCCACCTGCTTCAAGAAGACCACCATCATCCCCAAATCCAAGAAAACACATGCAGTGTGCCTTAATGACTACTGTCCAATACCTCTGACTTCAATAATCTTGAAGTGCTTCGAGAGGTTGGTCATGGCCCACATCAGCTCCAGTCTTCCAACCTGCCTCGAACCCCTACAGTTTGCCTACCAATGTAACAGGTCCACAGAGGATGCTGCATCCCTAGCCCTGCGCTCATCTCTGGAACATCTGGACAACAAAGACACCTGTGTCAGACTCCTGCTAGTTGACTACAGCTCCGCCTTCAACTCCATTATCCCCTCCACACTGATCTCAAAACTCAGTGACATTGGTCTCCGCTCCGCCCTCTGCAACTAGATCCTCAGCTTTCTGACCCAAAGACCGCAATCAGTGAGGATAAGTAACTGCACCTCCACAATAACACTCAACACTGGAGCTCGCCAAAGATGCGTCCTCAGCTCCCTACTGTACTCCTGTACATCTGCGACTGTGTTGCCAAATTCCAACGAACGCCACCTACAAGTTCACTGACAACACCACCATAGTGGGACGGATATCTAACAACCACAAGTCAAAACACAAGGGAGATAGTGGGCTTGGTGTCGTTGATGCAATGAAAACAATCCGTCTCCCAACGTCGGCGAAACTAAAGAACTAATATCAACTTCAGAAAGAAAGCGGAGAACACACCCCCATCTACATCAACGGAACTGAGTTTGAGAGAGTGAAGAGCATCAAGTTCCTCGGAGTGACGATAACCGACGACCTGTCCTGGACTTCCCACATAAAGTCAAGAAGGCACAACAACGCCTCTTCTTCCTTAGCCAGCTCAGGAAATTTGGTATGTCCATAAGGTCCCTCACCAACCTCTACAGATGCACCATTGAAAGCACACTGTCCAGGTGCATAACAGCCTGGAATGGCAACTGCTCTGCCCAAGACCATAAGAAACTACAGAAGGTAGTGTGCACAGCCCAGACCATCACAGAAGCCAACCTTCCATCCATGGACTCTATTTACATGGCTCCCTGCCGCGGAAAGGCAGCCAACATCATCAAAGACCCACCTAATCCTGGAAATGCCCTCCTACAACCACTTCCATCAGGCAGAAGATACAGAAGCCTGAACACACGCACGAGCAGGTTCAGGAACAGCTTCTTTCCAGCCGTTATCAGACTGTTGAATGGACTCTAGCCTCAAATAACGTAACCTGCAATGTAACCTGTATGCCTCTAAGTCTTTTTGATCTGTACACCCTTTGCTTGCTGTGATCTGCCTGCACCACTCGTAAACAAGGCTTTTCACTGTATTTTAGTAAACGTGACAATAAATTAATCAAAAATAATCCTGGTGACAGAGGCACAGCACAATGGATGGTATCCTCAATGTAAAGAAAGAACTTTTTCTCCTCAATTATTGAACGATGATGGCTACTACAAATACTGTTACGGACAAACATACATAGGACAGATAGATTGGTGAGTGTGAGGTCAGTTGGTTTTCCTCTCATGATGGTACTCTCATCACTCGTCTAAATTAGTCAGCTGTGCTGCTGCTGAGTCACTTTGCAATTGACATTGGAGTCCCTCACCTTGATTACAATTATACTTATTACCCTCAGTGATGAACATGAATGAGTACTAATTTATCATCAGAGGAAGGATAGTGGTAATCGGATTTTCTATCCCAAGTTTAGAATACTACCGTGAGATTTTATTTCATTCAATGATGGGCAATGATGGGCTGTGGACTTCACTGGCAGGGCCAGTGTTTATTGTTCATCCCTAATCACTCAGAGGGCAGTAAATCGTCGACTACATTGCTGGAGTCTGGAGTCGCATGTGGGCCAGACCGGGTAAAGATAGCCAATTTCCTTTCTTAAAGAACATTAGTGAAGCAGATGGTTTTTCACGACATTCAACAGTGGTCACGTGATCACTACCAAATTCACTTTTTTAAAATTCCAGATTGTTACTCAATTCAGATTTCACCACCTGCCATTGAATGATTCAAACCCATGTCCTCAGGATTTTAGCCATGGTTTCTAAAGATTATTCCAGTGATATTGCCACTAAACCAACACCTCCTCTGAATTAAATTCGGGATCAATGGGCTGGACTGCAGCTGGATTGTACTATATTATGTTGCCAACACTGATGGGCCTATCCTGTTTGGAGTGACGACAGAAAAGCTTGGGATGTCAGCTCAAAGATGTGATGCTGGAAGTTGTTGCTTGACTTGTATGTGCCATAAGCTGTTAGGAAGGAGGACTTTGGAGGGCTGACTGGGCCATATGTACTTTTGTTATATCTAATGCCTAGATTGAATGGAGTTGTCCATTCAATTTTATTTTTATGAGTTTTTTTTCCCATCAGGTTTTCAGAATCTATCATTTGGATGCTAGTTATGCCTCAAACACATTTCTGTGGAACTCAAAGTCACATGTAGATAGACTGAGTAAGTAAGGATGAACTTAATGGCAAACTATGTGGATCTTTACAACAATCTAGTAGTTACACGGTCACCATTACTGGTACATTTCCTTTCATTCCCAATTTATTTAAGTTGTTAAATTTAAGGCCCTGTTGCCATAATGGGATTTATTAGAACTCATGTCTCCCAATTATTAGTCAGGCATCTGAATCACGAGTCCAGTAATGTAAACACTGTGCTACCATTCCTGCAAACCAAGGTGAAAGTATAATGTTTTTATGGCCTATAGCTAACTCCTGGTCCATTTTCAAATTCTTTGCCACAGATTTCTTTTTGGCCTTTGAGAGAGGCTCATCCCAAGCAGCCCAAAGCCATGCTGACTCCCTGTGGAGCAAACCAAT